GGCGGGCGCCGTCTCCTCAGAGAGAGTCGTCCTCACGGAGGTCAGCACAGGTCTGTGAGGTCCTCATCACCGGGACGGGCGCCCGCGCACGGCCGCGCCACCTTGCACCCCCCGCCCGCCGTTACTCCCAGGCCCCAGGGTGCGCTCCCCCCGGGGCGGGCACGCAGACGGGCACAGCAGGAGCGAAGGCCCCGGCACGCGCCGCTGCGGGGTCCACGACGATAAACTCGCCAGCGCACAGTTCCACCTACCCGACATTCGTCACCAGCTTTGGACAAAAGAGACCGCACGCGCTCCGTTAGACCCCCTAAATAGCGCCGCGCAGAGGCCCACGGGATTTTGGGGGCGGGACTATACCCTCCGCATGCGCACTCGAGAAAACTGCGCGGATAGGTAGGAAGTTCCGGGGGAGGTGAACGCAACACTCTGCCCACAAATTCCAGGCTGGGAGGGCCGCGCATGCTCCCTGCCCAATGCCTGCGGCTGGGAGCGCCGCGCATGCTCCCTGCCCAAAGCCTGCGGCTGGGAACGCCGCGCATGCTCCCTTCTCAAAGCCTGCGGCTGGGAGCGCTGCGCAAGCGTCTTTTATTTCCTCCGGCTGGTGCGGGTGTTGGGACCTTGGTTTCGCCGCCTCCGCTGCATCCCGCTGGAGGCTAAGTCTGCGAGGAGCGCCGCCGCCATGGACCCCGCGGAGCCCGAGCTCCCGGGCGACGCCCCGGGCCCGCGGCCTCCTCCGAGCGCGCTCTCGGAGCCCGACGCTCAGGGGCACAGTGCGAGTGGCGACTCAGGTAGGGCCGGGCCCCGGGGACCGCGGTCGGCGCGTCCTCCTCCCGCGCCCCGCTGAGCTCCGTCGCGGATCCCGTCTCCCAGAGAGTAGGGGCACCAGCACCCCTATTTCACAGACATGGGACCTCGGGTCCGAAGCCCACCCGCGCCCGGCAGCCACTGAAGGGACCTGCGTGCGACGCCGGGTGAACACAGCCCCATGGGTGCGCGGCGCACGCCTGGCGCGCCGGGCCACCACCCAGAGGAGACGTGGAGGGGACTCGGGGACTGGCGACCTGGCTGGTGTCGTCGCGCGTAGTGAGGCGGAGCCCATGCAGTCTGATCCCAGGTTCCAGACAAGCAGATCACACAGGGACAAATGAGGCCCCCCTCTGGCGCTACTTCTCAGCCTTTTTCCTGGTCACCCTGCCCGACCTAGAAAACACCCACCCCGAAATTCCAACTACACGTGCACATGTACTGCGTACGTACTTCGCCGTGTGCAGGACCAATGGCCTTTTTTTTTTTTTTTTCCTGGTATTTTTGAGACAGGGTTTCGCTATGCAGTTCAGGCTGGCCTTGAGCTCACTTTGTAGCCCAGGCCGGTTTCGAACTCGCAATGATCCTCCTACCTCAGCCTCCCAAGTGCTGGGATGGCAGGCCTGCGCTATCACACCGGGCAAGAGGCAGTGCTAAGACCCAGGATTTTCCAGCTCCTAAAACCAATTCTCACACCCCACCAGACCACCGGAGAACACCCCAGGGTGATGTAGTGCACGATACTGTACACAATTACTGATAGAATTAGTTTGAATTATTATTGACCAGAATAAACTCATTCACTTAATATCTAAGTGCTTGTGCCTTGCATGATACAGCATCGGAGGAAAAAGATGATAATACACCTTGTCCTGACGGTGGGTTGGTTGGGTCGATTCAGATGTGAATGCCTGTAATCCCAGCGCTCAGAAGCTGAAGCAGGATGGAAAGTTGGAGGCCAGCCTGAGCTATGTAGAGTTTGAGGTGGCCTGGAGTGCACAGCAAGACCCTGTCTCAAAAAGAAAAAGAAAGGGGCTGGGGATTTAGCTGAAAGGCTTAGCATCTGCCTGGCAAGCGCAAGGTCCTGAGTTCGATTCCTGGTACCGGAAAAAAATGAAAAAGTCTAGGTAAAGAGTGAGCATAGGAAGGAAGGATATGGGCATGCTTTTTAAAAGATGGGTTTAAAGGGAGTGGTTGAATATAAAACTGAAAAAGATTTCGGGGTGGGGGCTGCTAGCTGCGGGCCTGGAATGCAAAGCTAAGTAATTGGAATTGTAGATATCAAGAAAGGAGCCAGTGAAAGCCCCTCCCCCCCGTACCGGGAATCGAACTCACGACCTCGCGCTTGCCAGGCAGGCGCTGTGCTGCTGAGCTAAATCCCCTGCCCCTAGTGAAAGTTTTTGAGAAAGGAGGTGATGAGAAATTGGGGCTTAAGCTGGGAACAAGGACATGATGAGATTGTCACTGTGGTTTAGGTGAGAGGTCAGCGGGCTTGGAAAGGTGGGGACTTGGGTCATGGGTCTTTGATTTGTGCAGCCACAGAAACCAGGCAGATAAAGCAAAGCAGGTCAGTGCAGTGAACTGAGTGAGGACTGGCGAAATGGGCAGCTCTGTGTCCAGGTTGTGCTTAGGAGCTTTTGGTTACTGTTTTTTGTGCTTAGGAATTTCTTAAACAGGAAAAAAAAAATCTTCAATACATCAAGGAGACATAAAGCTTGGTGGTATCCAGGCATAGTGGCACACACTCATAAATAATCCCAGCACTCTGGCGGGTGGGGGAGTGGGACAGGAGGATTCAAGTTTGAACCCACCCTGGGCAACTTATTGAGATCTTGTTTTAAAATAAAAACATCTGGAAAATACACTCAGAATGAAGGCCCTGGCTGAAACTCTAGTACCAAAACAAAAAAGGATTGGTGGAAATAATTCAAGTCTCATCACACTTGGAATTGTGTGTGAGTGATGTCTCTCAGCCCCGGTTCAGGTTAGTTAGGGACCCACTTGCTTGTAAGTGGGCCCTTTGTGCAAAGAGCATCCGGCCCCCGCCTGGCAGCCACAGACACTGCCTCCCTGGAGGAGGACCAAGCACATGCTCAGCACTGGAGGTGGAGCTGGGACCTGGGAAGGAGAAGGCCAATTGTACAAAAAGCTCCTCGGTGCTAGCTATGGACCCAGCATTTTGCCGATGCTGAGCTCCCACTCTGTCCCTGAGGCCCCCTGTCTTCCTTTTGTAGTGTTAGGGATTGAATCCAGGGGTGTTGTGCCACAGAGCTACACCCCCAGCCCTTTCTAGTTTTTGAGACAGAGTTTGGCTAAATTGCACTGGTGAGACTTGGAACTTTTGATCCTCCTGCCTCAGGCTTCCTTAGTGCTGGGATTACAGATGTGCAATGCTGGACTGAGTTTATATATTTATATTTACCAGTTTTTGAGACAGGGTCTCACTATATAGGTGCCCTGTGTAGCTCAGGCAGGCCTCAAACTTACCCTCTTACTTCAGTCTTCCTCAGTGCTAGGATAATAGGTATGCAACACTGTCTGGTTTATGTTTTTATTTATAAATGACAAGGTAATGGAGCATATTCCTGGGCCAGTTTGCTAATAGGGTTTTTGGAGTTGTGGGGTGGGATGTGGCAGGTCTCCTGGTGCAGGGCCAGGCAGGTCTCTGGGGGTGAGCCCATGGAGGGCAACGAGGCTGGGGTGTGTGCTGCTGTGTTTGTGGCCCTGAACAAGGAGCATTGGTGCCGTGACTGGAGGGCCGAGGGGAACCTGGTACTGATCATGTTGCTGCTTTGCTTTTTTGGCTGAGATCAAATGTGGTAGGTGTTCTTACCGGCTCAATGTCAGGTATTTCCTCTGTGTTAAACTGGTTTTTGGAAGGGAGGCAGAACTGGAGTTTGCTGCATCCACTGCACTCGTCGGACCTTGCCATTCCTAGAGTGTGCACCCCTCCAGCACCCTTCAGCAGGGATTTATCACCTATATCTGTGGCGGAGTTAGGTGGAATATAATGAATGGTGGCAAATGGATTAATCACTAATATGTCTCATTTGGGTGTCTTTTATTTTTTTTCCTTCTGAGACAGGGTCTAGCTATGTAGTTCAGGCTAGCCTTGAACTCACTATGGAGCCTAGGCTGGCCTCAAACTTTCCGCAATCCTCCTCCTTCAGCCTCCCAAGTGCTAGGATTGCAGCCATGTGCCATCATGCCTGGTGTCTTTTTTTTAAACTGGGGGTTGAACCCAAGGCCTTTACACTGAGCTACATCCCTGACCCTATTTATTTATTTAGGTTTTTTGAGACAGAGTCTTGCTAAACTGCCCAGGCTGGGCTTAAACTTTCAGTTTTCCTGCTCCCCTTCCGGAATGCTGGACTCATAGGCATGTGCTGTCCATGCCTGGCTTATATGTCTTAACGAGCCTTACCTAGAAGGGGAGAAGACAGGAAGGCTAAGGCTGTAATTGGCAAAAAAGTAGCAATCATTCATATTCACCAGGACAGGGGCTATGGGGTCATTTTTGTGCTTTGGGCCAGGTTTGTGTTTTGTGCATCTTTACGACGACGTGATTACGTAAGAATCCTATTTTTGTCTTGAGCTGTCCTGGTCACAGTGGCCTTGTTTGATCTTGATGTTCTCGGAAATTGTTTATGTTTACCTTGGGACTATCAAGGTCTAGCTCTGAGTGTCAGGCCAGCCTCCAGCAGGCCGAAGGCCTCACTCTGGACTCCTAGCCTGGCTCTGGGCTCTGCTCCATCCCTTCTAATCTGCTCCCACTTAGTGGCTGGAGTGGTCTCAGAGGAGAACCTGGGAAGTCTCACTTCTCACCTCCAGATGCCTTTGCTGTTGGGGCTGAAGTTTGTACGTGTTGGCAAAGCCGAGTTCTGTTAGCTTGTCACTAGGGCCCAGTGAGCACTGTGTTAAAGTATTTTTTCCTTCTGAGACAGGGTCTTGCTGTGCAGTTCGGACTGACCTTGAACTCATTTTGTAGCCCAGGATGTCCTTGAATTCACAGTGATCCTCCTGCCTCAGCCTCCTGAGTTGTCAGAAGTTGATTATGTTTCTGTCCAAGGTGAACAAGTCCCAAGAACGAGGTACCTGCGGATGAATAGAAAAATAAAATTAAAAAGAAAAACAAGAGAGGCAAAATTCTGGGGTCAGGGGGGTAGCAGCCTCTAGGACTGAAGCCCTGATTACCATATTCAGTAACGTTTTTTTTTTTTTTAATTTTTTATTTTAAAGAATAAAAAAAGGATAACATAATAATAGGGGGGGACTTAGCAAATTACAGACAAAATGGTAGGAAATTATCAATGGTTATCGTTTTATGTATTATTATCTATAAAATAGTTTCTCAGGAAAACAAATAGACAAATAATAGTAAGTTAGAGACAAAAGAGGTAGGAGATTATCAAGAGTTGTTATGCTATACTTTGGTATCTTCAAAGTGGCTTCTAAAGAATATAAATAGAGCTATACATGAGTGACATATTGAAAAATCATTAACTATTCTCAATGGTTGTTGTAGGAAACACATAATAATAAACATACATTATGAAACAGGATAGGAACATTCCAAACTTAACACAGTTATGGATAGATTAGTAGGAAAATATCAATGGCTGCTGTAATACGTGGTGGTATCTTCAAAGTGGTTTCTCAGGAAGACAGAGATATGCAAGAAGGATCTAATAAGTAGTTACAGCCTAAGGGTTGTCAAAAATAGCATATTACCTCCTCACCAGTGACTCCTTTCACTGAGGTATGATGGCTGGAAGGAAGGCCAGAATTGAAAAGAAGGACTGAGAGACTTGCACCTGTGACTAGCAACAGGCTGTTTTCTTGTTCCTCCATAGTCATGATTACCCAGGACTCCTCCATGGAGATGACGGTCTGGCCAGAGGGAGAAGGCAGGCCATGCCCCAAGCCCTCTCATTCCTGTTGGACTAACTGGTAGCATGGGTCTGAGCTCTGGGGCCTCCACCTCAGAGGGCAGACCGATCTCCAGTGGTCTCCTTTGCATCCAGGGCATGTCCCATGGGGCCTCTTAGGGCAGTTCCTCTTGAGATGGCCTGGCTTTTAACAGTGGTAGCAGATGAATGCAGTTGTGGAGTTCTTCTTGGAGCCCCGGGAATCAGACCTGGGATCTGTTTCTCCTAGTGGTGCAGCAAAAGTAGCTGCTTTTTCTCAGTCTCTTTGTTTTCTCTCCTTGGCCTCCTCCTCATCATGGCTATAGAATACTGAGGAGGCTATTCTTACTAACATCTCAAGTGAGCTATCTGGGGTGAAAGCCATTCTTTGTAGCTTTTTCTCTCCAGCTTCCCATTGCTTTGGGACCCCACAACCAGTTAGTGTCCTCTCCCCAACTGTCAGCACAGGCAAAAGGAATCCTGCTGCAGATTTCTCCAGAGCTTCACCACAGCCTGTACTGTCAGGGGAAGAATGGCTTCCAATGAGTCTCTGCAGGTATTGTGCAAGGTCCTCCTGGTTTACAGCTTGCGAGCGGCTCTCGTGACCCCAGTCCATTGGATCTCTGACTCCGTGGGCTTAGTCTGCATTCTCATGTTCTCTGAGTCCTTGTTCAGCAGCTGCTCCTCCACTGGCTCTGGACCTTTCTGGTTCTCAATGGCAGGAGCAAGAGTGGCTCGTTGTATGGCATATATTCCCAGGGGTTGTTCAAAGTTTCAATGATTTACACACATCCGTGGGTGGGCAACTGCAGTCGGTGCATGATGGGCCAATTGTGTCACTGTTTCTCTGTGTCATGATAGATTCCAATTGGGCGGCGGCGGCCGGCCTAAGGGCCGGCGCGCAATAGCGCTCGCTGCCGCATGGCTCCCCGTGCGCTGGGGGCCCACCCTCCGGGAGCCAGCAGGCAGGAAGCTAGCCAGCCCGACCTGCGCTCCCCGTTCAGTAACATTTTATTAAGAAAGAACAAAGGAGGCAGCAGAGGAATGGGAGGATATGAACTGTTTTAGCAAGGACAATACAACTCAATTATCATAGGAATGGGACCTGACCAGTTAGCCATCTTGTTATCTTCCTTCGGGCATATCTCAGCAAAGCATTTAGTATTGACCCCGGGGCTTACAGTGCTTATGCTAGACTTCCTTCAGAACCCAGCAATCATGGCTTGGTCAGGCCTGAGGCAATACACAAAACTATCCTTCACACTGAGTGGTAGGGATACAAGCATGTGCTACCATACCTGGCTTTGGCTACATTTTTTTTTTTTTTTTTTTTGAGATAGGGTCTCTTCTGCAGTTCAGGCTGGCCTTGAGCTCACTTTGTAGTCCGGGCTGGTCTTAAACTCCCCTCATCCTCCTGCCCCGGCTTGGATATGTTTTTTGTTTGTAAAACATCTAGAGCAGGGGGTGTAGCTCTGACAGAGCACTTACCTACATACACAAAGCCCTGGATTCAATCCCCGGCATAGCAAAACAAGGAAGATACTAAATGCCCATATCTTGGCTAATAAAAGGAACTGGGGGTCCCGGGCATGGCATGGCTGTCATCTCAGCACTCTGGGAAGCTGAAGCAAGTTGATTGCAAGTTTGAGACCAGCCTGGGTAACTTAGTGACTTAGACCTGCCGCAGAGCTACACCCCCAGCCCTCATTTGATTGTTTTTTTTTTTTTTTTCTCCATATGACATTCTTTTGCACACTCTCAAAATCAGGTTTTAGCAACATTTTGGGAAACACCCTTGTCCACGTTAAGTCTGGAATGAACTGGTGGGGTGATAGGTTCCACTCTTGTCTCTGTTCCCTTTGCACTGAGCTATAGCCCCAGTGTTTTAAAATTTTTATTTGTTTATTTATTTATTTATTTATTTATTTTGCGGCACTGAGGATTGCATCTAGGGCCTTGCACATGCTAGGCAAGTGCTCTACCACTAAGTGATACCCCAGCCCTCTTTTTATTTTTCTCGTTAAGTCCTAGGACAGGTTCTCTCACTAAGTCATTAAGGCTGGGTGGCCTCCACGTCCGGCGCCTGCTTGGTGTTTCTCTTTCAGTGTTTGCATGGGAGCACAGGGCTTGCTGCAGTGTTGTTCATTGGCACTTATTTGGGTATCAGTTACCTTTAGATGGTGCATGTCTTTCTGTTCTAAGAAGTGCCTTGTTGGGTGTTTTTACTGTTCTTGGCCCTTACGCTCCTCCGTGCTGCACGCACTTTGACTGTGATGACCCTGTGTTGCTGCCAGTAGGTTGTGGAATCCTCGGTTCCACCTACCCTCCCATTTTGCTCTGCCTGTAGAAGTCCTTTTAACCGGGGGTGAAGAGTTAGTAGAGCTCACGTGCTGGAAATAGGTGACCTAGTGCCCTGCTGCAGGGCCTGGAAAGGGCCCTTCTCTGCCCCCTGCTCCAGGACAGGGCTGCTGCTCCAGAGCTTTTACTTGGCTTGGTCCTGACTTTCTCTTGAAGGCTGAATTCTTCTTGACAGATAGCATGCTTTGCATTCTTACTATAAACAAACATTGTTTCATATTCTCTAGTACCTTTGGCCTCTTTCTGTAGTTTTGTTTTCCTCCCCTAGATTTGCTACTTTTTTTCTTTTTTGGTACATGGTTGAACCCAGAGCCTTCACACTGAGCTGTATCCCCAGCTCTTTCTGTGTTTTCTTTTGCGAGAGGGTCTTGCTCAACTGGTGAATTGCCCAGGCTGTACTTGAATTTACATTGTCCCATTTTAGCTTTGCAGGATTACAGGCACAGGCACCATGCCTGGGTAGAGTTTCATCTTGATCCAGTGGTGTTGTTTACATTTCTTTTCATTGTCCTCCTTGTACCTTCACAACGACTGTTGGTTGTTTCTAAGAAGGGAAATGCATGGGCTTGACCGCCACAGTTCATCACTTAGCAAGCCAGACGGAAGGAAGTGGCTGCTGGCTGCTGTCTGTGCAGACAGGCTCACCAACAGCGTCCCAACAGGGACCTGTAAGGCACAGGATGCCTGTTGCAGCGGGTGGCTGCACCGTGCAGGCACTTGTTCTGGCAGGGAGTTGAGAACGCTGCACTTGTGCGAGGTCTCCAGGCAGAGCAGGAAGGCCTGGCAGGTGAGAGAAGAGACACAGGAGTCCGCAGGCCTCGGTGGTCCGGACTGTGCTGAGGGGGTGTCTTGGTTACTTCTCTCTCATTGCTGGGACAAAATACCTGACACCCAAAATTAAGGAAGGAAAGGTTTATTTCGCTTACAGTTTGTGGAGGTTTTAGTCCATACTTGGCAGGTTACAAGGCAGAGTGGCACGTGGCAGAGGGCTACAGCTCATGGAGGCAGAACACAGCGAAAGCAACAACTACTAAAAGGGAGGAATGGCTGCAAGCAGCCTCTTCCTCTCCCTTACATATGCAAACTGTCCACCCCAGGGTGTAGCTCTCACACCCATAATCAATCAATCTCTAAAAGCCTGCCCCATGGCTGCATGAGGCTTTGGGGGCACACACAGACACAAACTATAACAGGGGGTAAGTGGGTAGGTTCTGGGAGGCTGCAGAAGGAATCACCAGCCAACCCGGAGCCACAGCTGTGAGGTGCTCTCCTTGGAAGGGAGCTTCTAGCCCCAGCCCGTGGCCTTGGGCTCTCACACAAGGGGGAAGTGCGCTGGGTGTTCGTCTCTGTGCAGGGCACCTGGGCTCTTACCCCCTCCGAGCACTGGTGTGAGGCTCAGTCTCCTCCTGCCACCTGCCCGAGCTACTCTCGCCCCTCTCGTTCCTCTTGGGGGTGGAGAGGACCTGTGGGGTGCAGAAGGCCAAGGATGAGCCTTTTACACCCCTTTTCGGCTGTTTCCTCAACCCCTGGCTTCTGCTTTCTGGCTTCCAGTCTGGGTGGGAGAGGAAGAACTTAAAGAACTTGTTCCTTCGGCTCTGCCCTGGGACAAGGAGTTCCTGAGCCCGTTGGCACCTCCTAGTGTTGATGTCCGGTCCTCCCTGCCGCCCCGCCCCGCTGCGGAGCTTCAGGGCCAGCTGCCCACAGGCCTAGCAGTACCTCAGAGGGAGTTCGGATGGGGAGTTTGGGAAGGCCAGGAGCTCTGCGGGCTGGAGTCTCGTGGTTTGGTCTGTGTGGGAGGGGGTAATGTCGGGCGGCCCCCCAGCCTTGGATGTCTCACTCCAGCGCCTGCAGCCCGGTGCCGGCAGCCAGGGCGGGTGGGGCGAGAAGGGGTCCGAACCGACCCTCCTAGTCGTGGGGAAGAAGACGGGTGCACGCTGTCAGAAGCTGCTGCCTGTAGAGCCAGGACGCCGCTGGGCGGGGCAGCCAGGCTGGTCCTGTGTGCAGGTGTCTCAGCTGCCGGGCGCTGGGTGATGGTGTTGCCGTGGCCACCAGCATGCGAGAGGAATGGGGCCTGGGTGGGATAAAGCGGAGCCTGGCCTCCTAAAGGTGGCTCCGAGCACAGCAGCTTTTGAGGGCGGGGTTGGACTGAGCTGAGAAGTTGGACTTTGCAGCCCAGAGTCAGCGTGCACACCTGTGAGCGCAGAGCCCAGGAGGCTGAGACAGGAGGATGGCACTTTTGAGCCCTCCTTGGGTTGCTCAGGGCAAAAAGCCGAGAAACCTGGGGCTCCGTCTGAGGCCGGCCCCCTGCTCGCCTCCCGGGCGGGTGGGGCGGGGCCGAGGAGTGGCCTTCGGGACCGCGGGGCGGTGTGGAGGGCGGGGCGGGGCCCGCTCGCTTCCGCTTCCCGCCCCCCACCCCCGGCCTCAGTCCCGCGGCGGCGCCCGGCGAGGTCAGTCCGCAGCGTCCGCAGCGCCCCGCGTGTCTCGGCCCACAGGCACCATGAGCCGCGACACGGAGGTGGACATGAAGGAGGTGGAGCTCAGCGAGCTGGAGCCCGAGAAGCAGCCGATGGCGGCGGGCGGCGAGAAGAACGGGCTGGTGAAGGCGAAGGCCGCGGGCGGCGCGGAGCCCGCGGCGGGCGCCAAGTTCACCGGGCTGAGCAAGGAGGAGCTGCTGGCG